ATGGGCAAAATTGATACGATTTCAAAAAATTTGGAGATAAAATTAAAATTATTCAAAGTCTGAGAGTGTAATTGAAAATTGAGATAAAATACAGGGGTAAATTTTCTCATCTTTTTACCCCCCCCTTCTTCTCTCTCTCTCGCTCACCTGCAAAACTGAAGAATTCATTCGAAACCAACAACGAGCATTCCGCTAGAATGCGCCACTGATCCCGATCAAAACGCACCTCAATCGTACAGCCATGGCCGGTTGGATCTCCTCCAAACTCAAAGTCGCTGAAACCCTCCTCCAACAGGCAAGTCATGCTCCGTTTGGTTGCCCAGAAAACTTTAATGTTTTTTTTTTCCTCGGCAACCAATCAGAGCGCATCTCTTCTCTCTGCTCGTTCAATTTAACGTTGCTTGTTATTATGATTTAGAATAGATTCTTATTTTATTTTTATTTTTTTAAGATCTTGAAACAAGTTTTTTCGATTATTATATTATTTAGATCGATCATCAAGCGGCGGAGTCATTAGGCAAAAACGACAAGCCGCGATCTGATGATTTGAGTATTGAGACCTCACGGAAAAGCACTGAAGTAGTGCCATTGAAGGATCAGCTGAAGAAGAAGAAGAATAAGGATAAAACTACACAAACGAATGATTTAATTGGCAAATCTCGTAATGATCGTAATTCAATTGAAATTAGTAGTAATAAAATTAGTGTTAATCGAGATAGGGTTGAGGAAGTTGGGGCATTGGCTGTAAACCCTCCTCCTAAGTCTGGGCTTACCGACAGTGATTGGACCCAGCTACTTAGTGCACCGAGCCAGCCAACATCTCCGGTTGTGACTAGCGGTAATGGAGTGACTGGGATTCACGGGTTGCGGAAAGATGGTCAGACGCAGGGCAGGTCGGGTTCGAATTTGTCAGCATTGGAGGGGAAGAGGAACCAGAAGGGCAAGAATAGTGGTTTGAGGACGTTGAAAAAACCAGGTGTTTTGTCTGAAAATAAAGTAAATGGTGGGAGGCGGAGAGATGGAGAAGATTCTAGGATTGTTCAGGGAATTTCTAGAGCTGAATTGGGAAGTGGTGGTAATGAATCGGAAGTAAGAGAATCGGATCGGAAGGATGCAAGTCCGAGCCTTGTTGTGGAGAATAAGTACAAGGCAAATGAAGAAAGAAATGGTGTGTCAGAAGAAACACATGGGGATATGGGTCATTTGCACTCAAAGGAGGTTACTTCTGTGGACACAGTTCCACAGTCTACGGATAGGGACTCTCTGGTGGAAATGGCATCAGAGACTGCTGATGGGGTTTCTGATTTGAAGATGGGAAATGGCAATGATGATCACAACAGATTCAGGAGTTCTATTGGGGGAATTAATGAACGCAGTGCAGGGCCGAGGAGGTCGCCTACTCTGAAGAGGGATTCTCCTTCAATAAGCAATAGAGGGTCTGATTCAGAGACAGAGTCAACATCCACGTCTGATTCAGAAAGTGAACGCGAAAGGGAAGAAAGGAAAAGGAGGGCGGCGCAGATCCTAGTTGAGAAAGCAGCAGCAAGGGCCATAGAGGCTATCAAAGAGCGAGAAAATATGGTTGCTAGATTGGAGGGGGAGAAACAGAGCTTAGAGAAAATACTTGAAGAACGGGCCAAACAGCAAGCACAAGAGGTAGGTAGTACTTTACAGTTTTTGCTGATATCATCATCTTTTCATTGTCATTATTTTGGTCAGTAACAGCGTTGATGGAACCATGTCTTCTTTGCTCTAATAACTCTTTGTAACATTGAGCTTCTGCAGAAAAAAAAAAAAGCCACTAAATCCATGGAAATATCTGAGTAAACGACATTGACAAACATCTAATTACAGTTTACAATATTTAATAATGTAATTTGTGGTCCTGGGTCCTTATGGGTTCTATAACACAAACATAGTTCATATTACATTTACATGAATGTCATGGTATTCATTCCTATGCTAATTAACCTATGAAATAAGGGATGAATACTTACAAAAATTGTTTTGCTTGATTATGACCCTTCACGCATACAATCCAACACCAACTCTTCAATGGTGAAACTACTAAAACCTCACTTTGCACCTAAATGGTGGCCTTAGAAAGAGACCAAGAGGGAGAAGTACACTAGGGTAAGGATCTTACTTTTCCTAGCTAAACTCTCTTCTTCCTACATACATCTCTCTTGCACACTTTCCATTCACCTTTCTTCGTGTACAGGTAAAAGACCTCATTGTCTCTAAAAGGCTAATATAATAAGACAAAAACATCATGCAAGGATGATGGCATTTGACCCAAAAAGAGAAGAGACATGCAAATAGTTGAGATGGGACTAAAGGCTCTTGAAATGGAGTGTAGGTAAAGTAGGATAGTTTTCTGCCATATGGGTGTCTAACTAACATCTCCCACTTGCAAGAGATGAGTGATCTGGTATTGTCAAACATATAGAACTATTATCTTAAGGTACACGCTCTATTTTCTGTATGATGAGAATGCAAGATTGAGAGGAGACTAGTTTGTGGCCCTACCTAACATGTGTGAGTGGGAGATGCTTGTCAAACACCTGTGGTAGGTGACCACAACTATTCTATTTTGCCCCCTTCATTTCATGAGACTTTTGTTTTTGGCTTTGAAAATCGTGTTGAAGCATATAAAATTTATATATTCATATCTTAACTCATGTATTCATAATTCTAGTTGAAGTATAAAGTGAATTATACTTGTGTGGCTTCGGTTGCATACCAAATTGCAATATAGTTTCAAACTTGCAATTGAACGATGAAGGCTTGCACATATTTACTTCAAAATTTAAGGATTTGATATTCTAAAACACTTGAATATGATAAACTAGAAGAAGCTTTGAATTTTCTTGTATTTTGTGTAGGACACTTCAATCCACTATCCTTTGGGATTTTGAGCCAAAAGAGGATAGTGGCATCCTATTATCTTTTCCTACTCTCAAAATGGTTGAAGAATCAGTATGAGTATGTCACCCCCACCTTGGCTAGCTGGCCTAGCGCTTCTATAAGCACTTGACCTTTTCCCATGTAGGCTTGTTGGGCCTCTATAAGGTGTATTCAATTGCTTCCTTATTCCTTATCTTGCAAGGATCGAGACTTCCAGTTAATTACAATTGAATCACTAAATAATTGTAATTGCACTATGGCCCTCAAAGAGTTAATTAATAATAATAATAATAATAATAATAATAATAATAATAATAATAATAATAATAAAACCCATGTTTTTCGTTGATGTTTCCGCTTGCCACTCAAAAGGATGCGGAGGTGGCTTCTTACTTGACTTTGATAGATGGAAGGGTGGTGTGGGATGTTAGGTTTTGTAGGGTGGTGTTTGATTGGGAGGTTGGCCAGTTGGTAGATCTTATGGCTTTGTTGTATGGTCTTCAGGGGCTTGGGTTGGGGGAGGGTGGGTTGGTATGGTGTTGTAAGGGGGCTAAAGGGATTTTCTCGGTGCCATCTTTTTATCGGGCCCAGGTGGGACTCTGGGATGTTTCTTTTCCTTAGTATGGTGTGTGGGTTGCTACTGTGCTATCCAATGTGGCATTTTTGTGTGGACGGCTGTGCATGATCGGATTTGGACTTTGGATAATCTTATTCATCATGGTCAGATCCTGGTCAATTGATGTTGTTTGAGTTGTCAGGATGCGATCTTCTTCTTCATTGTTGTGTTACATTTCAGATTTGGGGTTTGATTTTTGTGATGCTTGGTCTGAATTGGGTGCGGCAAAGGACTGCGAAGGTGGTGTTGTGTAGTTGGAGGGGGGGTCGGGTGGTGAAGATGCATCGGAAGGCTTGGCTCTTGGTGCCTTTGTGCTTAATGTGGATGGTTTGGTTGGAGTGTAATCAGCGGACTTTCTAAGGGTTAATGATTTTGGTGCCTTGTTTGAAGAATAAGTTTTTGGTAGTTTTGTCTAATTGGGTTTTGGAGATAGTGGATCTGGATTTGTTTTCTTTTGTGGATTTGATTGATTCTTTATATGTTTAGGTATAGTTGTGGTGCTGGTTGTATTTGTTAGCATCATCTTGATGCTTTCTGTAATAAAACTTTTTACTCTTTAGTTATCAAAAAAAAAAATCTAGCGAGTTGAGCCCAAAATCTAGGATGGCCTACAATGATAAATTTTTTTGTAACCACCTCTAAAAGTCCACTAGGCTATAAGTTCTCCCATGCTACGCAATTTTCTTTGATTCATAGTAACACTAGTGAACCAGAACAAAGATGAACTAGATTTTAATTGTATATTACTAGAAATTCACTTATTCACTAGTTAATAGTGAAAGTGTGTTTCTTTGTTTTTTTATTTCCCATATCTGATACTGAGACTTCCTGTTTGCAGACACTACCTCTGTTTCAATATTACTGAGTACTGATATAGTATCTGATATTGATTATATGGTAACTTCAAAAAAAAAAAAAAAATTGGCTTCAGGCTTCAGAGCTGCAGAACACTATGATGGAAACGATGGAGGCTGTCGATTTGGAGAAGCAAAAACATAATAATACTAGAATGGAAGCCCTTGGCAGACTGGCTAAACTTGAGGTTTGCAAGAGATGAGTGATCTGGGATTAGAGCGCCTGCTTTGATTTTCAGTATTCTTATCCCTTCACTTGTTTTCTCTTTTTATCTTGTTGGGGTTGTGCGGTGGCACGAATTTTAATCTATTTATACTATTTTGCAGACTACAAATGCTGATCTTGCACGATCGCTTGCTGCTGCACAATGGAATCTTGAAGTAGAGGTATGATGAGATTCTAATTTTAAGAGTTGGATCAATTGTATGATTATTCACAAATTTTTTTTTTTCTAGTTTCTGTTGTGAACCAAATTTTCCTCTAATTTCAACTTTTGCCTTCTCGGATGTGAAATTTGTAGAGTGAAAGATGATTGAGCTTTGAAAAATGTTATAGTTGTTAAACCGCCTTTGGCAAATAACTTGTTTGTTATTTTTATTTTAATTCTACTTGGCCTTGTCCATCCTAGCCCAAACCCAAAAATCTCGACTTTGTTCTATGAGCTTATGAAATTTCTACATCACATCAATTAGATTCTTATTTTTTTTTTTTCCTGCTTTTGTGGACTAGGTTAATCGTGTGGCAGAACTTCGACAACAAATTGATTTGAAAGAAGCAAACCATGAAGGTATGCCAATGGATCTTTAGAAGTTTAAATTTTTTCAAAAAACCCTTTTCTTTTCCCCTTTTTAACCATTCTCCCCTTTTTGGTTGTTGTTGATAGTTTCTAGATTTATATGTTTCAACAAATATTCTTCTCAGAGATCTAGGTGTTCAATAAAGAAATTTTAACAGAACCCACATGTGAAAATGTAAATGCCATGCCGCGCACTGCCATTTAATGATTCCAGTTGTTGTTCCTTAGAAAGTTGATCCCACTTGGATTGATGCATCTTGTATTAAATGTCATTGTAAACTTTCAATTGAGAGTACATACAGAGCATAAAATTTTCAGTGTGAGGATACTAACTACTTATCAGCTTATTTTAGGTTGTCAATATAAATTACTAAAAACTCTTTTTTTTGCTTCTTGCAGAACTCAGGAGGAAGATCTCCACTATTCATGATACTGGAAACCAAGTGAGTAATCTTTTGTGATTATGAGGATTGCAGTGCATAACCATGTGTTATGAAGGGTGCTGCTTGTCATTCATAGCTATAGTCTGATGCATATTTGATTAACTGGATCTTCCTATCCAGCTTGTTGACTAATTATTTGTTCTGTTGGAAATTTTTTAGTTCGTTGCTCCAAAAGGAGTTGAATTGGAGCGTGAGATACTTGAGGCAGAGTATTCTTTTGTAACTGAGAAAATCGGACGATTAGAAGAGAAGGTGAGCTTCCTTCTTCTTCCAACTTAATGATATTATGTCACAGTAGTTATATATTTGAGTAGGTATGTATGAGATGGATGGAAGTAGTTATGTATACGAATTGTATAAATGTTTCTATAGATGTTTGCGTATTTTACTGTTGTGAGGTTGGAAAGGTGTGATGGCAGCATGGGATGGCGGACATATTGGTGTTGGTGGTGTAGTTATGGGTGTTGCCATGGACCATGGTGTTGTGCAATAGAGAAAGACAGGAATAATGGGATTTTTTTAAATGCATTGTTATTTGAGTCAATGACATACATAGGTTTAAATTACATACCTTTCAGATGAAGTTTGGCTATATTAAACTTACTCGTGGATGTTGTGATGGTAAAATGAACAAAATGATTGAAATATTATTGATTTATATTTCTGTGTTTATTACAAATGGTGAGTGGCTCATTATATAGGAGAGGGTGAGTGTAGTAGGTGAGGAGTAGGTGAGGAGTAGGTGGTGGTAGGTGGTGGTAAATTTTAACAGCCCCCCGCAAACTCAAGGAGGATAGAAACTAACTAACTTGAGTTTGGAGAGAGTAACAAAACAAGAAAATACATAAAAATGAGAGAGTGAAAGACAACTTTAAGCAGTGTTATGGTGCTAGTATAAGAACTGATGGTCTAGATTCCATTGGGGATGAAGATGATGATGAAGAAGATGATTTATTCCCAGACCGATTTAGTATTGCATACAATCTTGACAGAGAATTTGGGTGTGTACATCATTCCTTTTAATTTATTTTTTGGGCTTTTTTATTTGTTTGTTTGGGTTGGGGGTTAAGGGTATAGAGCCTGCTTAATTTTGATAGGAATTGAGTTTGATCTTATATACTTACTAACCACTAATTCTGTTTTTTGTTTAAAAGGCCAAGGATTAAAGAGCACATGCAGTACTGTATGAACCATCCAGATGAAATAAGTAAGCTGTCCAAACTGAAGACTCAAATAACAGAGGTCAAAGGGATAATGATGGACAATATTGAGAAGGTTTTGGATCGTGGGGAGAAAATTGAACTCCTGGTGGATAAAACAGAAAACCTCCAGTTCCAGGCTGACAGCTTCCAGAGGCAGGGAAGGCAACTACGACGGAAGATGTGGCTGCAGAATCTCCAAATGAAGCTGATGGTGATGGTGGAGGATGAAGGCAACACAGATCTGAAATCGAAGGCGAGGAATAATCTTTCTTCTTCAGCGACCGATTCAATGGCGGATTGCGTGGCAGAGAGGGAGAGAGAGAGATGGCGAGGAGACCGGACGAGGAATACGATTACTTGTTCAAGGTGGTGTTAATCGGCGATTCAGGGGTCGGCAAATCCAACCTCCTCTCCCGATTCCCTTGCAACGAGTTCTGCCTCGAATCCAAATCTACCATCGGCGTCGAATTCGCCACCCGCACTCTCCAGGTTGAGGGCAAAACTGTTAAGGCTCAGATATGGGACAACAGAGCAATCACCAGTGCCTATTATAGAGGTGCGCTCGGAGCTCTTCTTGTTTACGATGTGACAAAGCCAACCACTTTTGAAAATGTCAGCCGGTGGTTGAAGGAGCTGAGAGACCACGCGGATGCCAACATCGTCATCATGCTCATCGGGAACAAGACTGATTTGAAGCATCTCAGAGCGGTTGCTACAGAGGATGCCTAAGGTTTTGCTGAGAAAGAAGGCCTTTCCCTTTGACTTTCCGTGTGGGTTTGGCTCCTTTGGGCCTTACTCGGATCTGAGTTCGCCGATGGAGTCTGGGATGAGCTCCACCGAGACAGATAGTGATGAGGAAGGTATGTGTAGAAAATGAGCTGAATAGGTTGAGGTCCGGCGGGCGGCCAAGGCGAGATTGCCGCCCGCCGGGGAAGCGAAACTATTAGGTTCTAAACCTGAACAGAGATAGAATCAGACCGATTCCCGAAATGCCTTTCTGGATATTCCTCAATGTCCCGGCTATTCACGGAACGTGAGAAGCAGATGATTAATCATCTGCTTCCGGAAGAAATCGAAGAATTTCTTGGGAATCCTACAAGATCCATTCGTTCTCTGATACCATGTTATAATTGAAATATTATTGATTTATATTTCTGTGTTTATTACAAATGGTGAGTGGCTCATTATATAGGAGAGGGTGAGTGTAGTAGGTGAGGAGTAGGTGGTGGTAGGTGATGGTAAATTTTAACAGTAGTTATGTATACGAATTGTATAAATGTTTCTATAGATGTTTGCGTATTTTACTGTTGTGAGGTTGGAAAGGTGTGATGGCAGCATGGGATGGCGGACATATTGGTGTTGGTGGTGTAGTTATGGGTGTTGCCATGGACCATGGTGTTGTGCAATAGAGAAAGACAGGAATAATGGGATTTTTTTAAATGCATTGTTATTTGAGTCAATGACATACATAGGTTTAAATTACATACCTTTCAGATGAAGTTTGGCTATATTAAACTTACTCGTGGATGTTGTGATGGTAAAATGAACAAAATGATGTATCATCCTATAATTGGTGTACCAAATTATATGAGCCCTTTGATTTATCATCCCACCGCAGCCCCGTTAGTTCCATATGGGGTCACTGTCTCATTTACAATAATTTACCATTAGTTTCGCATTTGTTTAGTAACAGATATTCACATTTATTTGATCTCTGAAACCTCATTTTCTTGTTTGACACAGGCAAAGACTCTGGAAACAAATATTGAAATGACCCGAAAAGATATAGAGAATCCAACTGAAGTGGAAGTTGAGCTAAAACGGAGGCTTGGTCAGTTGACTGACCATTTGATTCAGAAACAAGCCCAGGTTTGTTTTTCATGCACCGACTTGATTTGAAAGTTGAATTCCAGTTGTAAGGAAGCTTAAAATTGTTTGCTTTTAAAGGTCAAATTCACTTGCTTTGAATATTATGCATACAAGGATGTGCAAGCATAGTTTTGCGTGACAGTAAGTTAGGAAATTATTAATCAAGGTTTAAAAGGATCTGAATAGTACATGAAGGTGGAAAAGTACTTAAAAGGGTACAAAGACTGTAGATATGTTAGGGCCACTCACCAAAGTATGACATAAGTGAAATTTAGAGGAAGAATCATAATTTATGGAGACTTCAAAAATGACAAGGAGAAATGTGATTTTACTACTCTTAAGTCTCTTGCAAGGAGAAGGGCATTTATCTTCTTAGGGTTCAAGAGAAAGCTTATTTCCAACAGTAAGCGTTGGAAACTCGTCATTTATTCTCAATGAAAGATGTTATAATATTTGTATGGGATTCAGTGTAACTAAACACTGCTAACGTGTAGCCTTGACCCTCAATTAAGTCTTGTTAATTCCAACCCCTTTTATTCCTTTTCTCCTCAGCCATGGTTCTTAAATCTTAAACAGATATTCTATATCATTTCCTGTAATAATGAATTCAGAGTTTTAACTGCTAAATCTTAGTTTTGTGTAATTACAAGAATTGAATGGTTGGTTGATTACAAATGAAGTACACCCCCGTTCTAACTCCGTTTGTTCTATCAGGTTGAGGCGTTGTCTTCTGAGAAAGCCACACATTTGCTTAGAATTGAGGTGCATCATCTTTACTTGTACTATTGCTAACTATATTTATAAATTGGATTTTGTTACATGTTAAGAGGCTTAAAAAAAATTGTACATTCTACATGAAAGTAAGTGTAATAAATAATGTACAATCTTTTACTCATTCTTAACATGTGCCCCTAGGGCATATAATAACAAGACCTTTGTAAATTTTTGTCTCCATTATTTTTGCAGGCAGTTTCAAGGTTATTGGACGAAAACAAATCAAAGCTGAATGCCACAGATATCGAATCGGGGATTTGGGAGTTCTCCAACTCAAAGCTGAGGCCGTTGTTCAAAGAGAGAATGCAATCTGGCCGGCAACATCTAGGATCATTGGTTCGGCAGTTGGACTCTATCTTTTGTGCGGGTGCGGTGTTTCTAAGAAGAAATTCCACTGCAAGGCTGTGGTCTTTTGTTTACCTTGTATGCCTTCATTTCTGGGTGGTATACATTCTAATGTCGCACTCTCCGGTATCAGATGAGGCCAGGTCAGGTGCTGTTATTTCCTTGGAGAATATCAATAACACTGGAGGTGTCTGATTTATTTTTATGATTTGTTTGTGTTGTTGCCTATTGGTTTTACCAAGTATATATATATATTGTTTTATGGGGTACTTAAATGTTACCTGGGGGGTGTAATTACGCAGTTTTTTTCCCAGTCCAATAACAACACAATGGATGATGATGCACAGAAATGTATTATTTACTTATCAATGCTAACGAGGGAATAAGTCATAATACAACTATTTTAGTTAAGAATGCATTTTCATATTCAAATTGGTAGTTAAGAATGCATTTTCATATTCAAATTGGTAGTGTTCTTTCTCTGCCTGGGCCATCAGGAGAATTTGATTAGTCTGACCGTTTGCTTTTGTTTCGCCTGCCTAGTTTAAATGCAAATATTTATTTTTAAAAAGCAAGAAATTATCACATATATACCCAATAAGTAATTGAAAGCTGGCCTTTGGGAGCTTAATATTGGTCATCGGTATAGATAGGAGTGCCCCTTCCCACCTATGGGATTGAGTTGCTTCCATTGACGTTAATGACTAGTGAAATTTTCATATTTGAAGGAAGAAGAAAAAAAAATAGGAAACAATTTGTCCTTATAATATGGTCTCGAAATACTTTACATGAATTATAAAATTAATAAACTACTCGTATGATTTTGGATTAAATTATTATTGTCATATTATGAGAGACAAGTTTGGCACCAAAATGAGCATTTCTTTTTTCCTCTAGTAGTGTTAGAAGGGACAATAATACAGTTTTCGTCATTACAGAAACAAATGTAACAATATTACTCTTTTTCATTGTAGCTAAGTTCCTTTTTCATGTGGAGATTTTTTTATTTTCTTCTTTCTTTTTCTAAATTAATTGATTTACTTACAAAGTTTGTTTGGTATTATCTTGCACATGTAACCCAGTGTGCTGGCTTTTCTAAACGAATGGAATTCTTAATTTTTGCTTTTGGCCACAAAAAAGGAAAAAAGAAAATATCATATAAATGAAAATTGGAAAAACTAATTGCATATCAATTGAAACTTTGCAATTAGTCGAACCGGGCACAAGGCATAATTATCAATTGCATTTAGTTTTTCCAATTTTGATTTATCAAATATGTCCTAGAATCTAAACACTAATGCACTCCATTACAACAAAATTGCAGTGTCAGCAGTAGCACATCTTGCATGACCATATGCTCTACAATTATTGTTTCACCCTTTCAATTTATGCTGTCCCCTAAAATGACTCGAAGATAATAAAAAAATAAAAGAAATATAAAAAATTAGACCTTAATTACAACAAATTTAACGAAAATTTACAACACATGCACAAGTGCGAGGATGGCTGCTTTGCCAAGCCCAAAATACAACCAAAAAAAAAAGAAGGCGGGGGAAGCAAACGTGGCAAAAGAATTGCGTTTATCTCAAATTGGAAGTATATATTGGGTGTCAGGAACTTATAGCTGATCTCTCTTCTTACATGACCCTGTAAGAGCAATCCAGGACCTGCCTCTAATTATTAGGTGTTTCCAAGAGTCTTGATTAGGCTTTGCTTCTTCATTGACTCTTTCTCGGCCTGTTGGGTCTTCTTTCTAAGGCGTGTGTGATGGGGTCGACTTCTGGCTACTCCTCATTGGCCCACGTGATTTTGGCACTTGTGTAGTGGTTAAAGTCTTTTGTAGAGGCTTCAGAGCAGCCATTATCTCAGCAAATGAAGGCCTCAATTTTGGATCTCTAAAATGTAAAAAGAAAGAAAACATTAGATGCATGTCCATGTTAGTAGGCCAATTGCACTTGCAAATGCATTTCTAGTAAACCCTAATTCACCAAATCAAAGTTGAGTAGAGCAGGGCAACTCACTGCAACATGTAAAAACAAAGACATGTGATGGAGAGAGAGATGTCCCAAATATAATGTGGGCCTACTCATTTGTAATTGAGGAAAGGAAAACAACTATACCAATGAAACTGCACATCATCATATATGTCTTTTTTTCTTTTATTTTCTGTTCTTTTTTTTTGTACTGATATATGCCCTCTTCTACTACTTTGTCTGCTTCCTACTCAAAGATCTCTCACGGAAGCTTAGATCTCAATAGAAAGATGAAGATCTCCCTCAAGTCTAGGTTTGTTTCAAGACATAAAGACAGTTTTGGTATCGTTTTCAAAGTTTTTGTTTTACTTTTTTGGACTTTCGAAAACAAAAACAGCGAAAAGTTCACAAACACCCATACAAGCAATTGAGTTCCCCCAAATATAGTGTGGTCATTTTGTAATTGAGAAAGGAAACTACTACTTCAATGAAAAACAACTACTACTACTCTAATTAGTAATGAAGCCGAGCAAAATTGCAAGAAGCGTGAAATTCTCTAAGCCAATGAATGGGTACATAAGCAAAAACAAAATTTCACAAGACACGTAAGAACAGTGACAGGAAGGCTGAAAATCAGAATATACTCACGTTTGCCAGCATTTCTGAATAATATCTGCAATAGCAGGATCCATGTCATCTGGTATGTCAAGACGACGATGCTGAAAACCAACAGCACCAACAACTTGCATTGGGTTCATTCCCCCCCATGGCTGCTGCAAAGTACAGAGCTCCCATAATATGACGCCAAAGCTATAAACATCACATCTTCATTGCATCAAGTAATAAGTATACATCAGTGCACGATTCACAAAGATAAATAACAATAATAAGAAGAAGAAGAAGAAGAAAATAACTAAAAACTAGGAATGATTCATGCAGAAAAAAGACAAAAGAAAAACATACTTTTCATCTGAAGGTTCATTTCTCAGAACTTCCGGCGCCATCCACTCTGCCTGAAGAAGAGTACAGCACCATAGCATAAAATACTACAAAGTAATTATCTAATGCCAAATAATTCATTCCAATCATGAATAAACACATGCATAAGAAGGGAACGTAACTAGAACACTCGAAATAAACAAAAGAAAGGGGAAAAAAGAAAAGTAAAGAGATTGGAGGATGCAACAATAGTATTTGATGTGCCCCAAATGTTCTGTTATTTAAGTTTCTTACGTAAAAACTCAACATGTAATGAAGTTAATTAATGAAACCAAACCGCTACTCCAAAATAATTACAGTGAAAGCTTCCATTCCTTCAGAGTATCCAATTAGTTAATGTTGCATAGAAACATCATATCATATTACTGTAAAGTCACCAATTGTCCCATAGAGAGAAGAAAGAATGTCAATGAAGAGACAAAGAATGCAAATGAGGACCAAATGCAAACAGAGCGACTTGAACCCAAGACGTTCCACTACTCGAGCTCTGATACCAACTTTACTCACCAATTGTCCCAAAAGCTTAAGCTATAAGAAAATGAGCCCAAAAATATATATAAAGCTATACACCATTTACCACGCCATTCTCCCACCAAACTGCCTCCAAATGCTTTGCATCCCAACAAGAAGCTCTAATCCTGGGTTAGGCATCCTAACAAATATCAAATGGCACTGAGTTTTTCCCCCTTGTAATGAAAGTCCATAAATATATAATTTACTAACCACCAGATTACACGTTCAAGTCAATTCGGTGTGTATGATCTTACAGGAGGGAGAAATTCCTGTTCTTCCAATTGACCGTCATTGATGCTGAAGCAACACATAGCAAGTCCATTGTATTGTTTTAAATTAATGTAGTGGGAGACCAAAGATAAATGCTACCTCTTTGAAATGCATACACATCCATGTATAGACAAATGTTGACCATATCATTTTTCTTATTTCAAAATAACATGGAGCTTTAGTATTACAATTTAGTCACACATTTCCGTAACAGTCATAAACCATCCGCTAATTTTTATCTTGCATGGATATGTTTTCATGTAAAGCCCCAATTCTGGGCATGTCAATTTTCATGAATTTTATGCTTCTTTCATTCTGCAGATTTCCAGACACAAAAAATACCTTGAACACCTAAAAATGTCTAACAAATTTTCTTTTCTTTCCAGTAAGTCTTTTTCCTACTAGACACTTGAATCACATGCATAGAAAATTTCACAGCAAAGAAAATGAAGCATGACAACGCAATTTCAAAGAGAAGGCACAAAAACTAGGCCAATGAGATATCAATCTCAACTGAATTTTCTCATAAGAACATATTGCAAATTTGATGGTATGTTTAACTATAGATCACAGCAACAACCTTTTTTGAAGGAAAAAAGTTGGTAATCAAATCATCTCCAAAGGCCGGAGTACTAGGACCAACAGCACTGGGGTATCTTCACCAAAACGGCTGATAATAAAATGATGTAACAAAGATTTGCCGATTTCCAGTATCGCAGCATTACTGTATTCCATAAGGTAAGGCATCAAGATAATATGCAACCGAAAGACACTCGCACACAAGAAATCAACCAAACCAAATTAAATTTATATAAAGGTGAAACAAGAGAACCGAAGAAGCATGCCTAATGCCTATTGTTGGCGGTATATGAAAGATGGATTAGAAACTGGGAAAAATAAAATAGTAAAATAAATCTAGCAAGGCAGAGAAAACCATAGAACTAAAAGTAAGATCAAAATGTAAACATCCAGTACAAAAGTCAAACCAAATCATGTACAAATCAGTACGTTCAGCTTACCGTCCCCGCAGTTGACCTTGAGGAAAGAAATGTGCTATGTTTCATTCGGGATAACCCAAAATCGCAAACCTAATGAAGGCAGAAAATTCAAGCAAGGATGGATTAGCTTTAGAAGATTGTAATATTTCACCAAACTTCTCAGCCATGAGATAAAGAAGCCACCTTCACAACCCAATTCCTATCAACGAGAAGATTTGGAGATTTCAAATCGCGATGAACTATCACTGGTGTGCAGTTGTGCAAATAATTCATTCCGCGAGCCTGAAAGTGCAATTATTTAAGCAAGACAAATTATTCCCAGTGAAGTCACCAGTAAACTAAAAAAATCACTGATTTATATTCAAATGAAAGGTAAATATCATACAGCATCAAGGGCCATCCTCAAACGCCTCCGTTCATCTAATTGATTGTTAGGCCGGTGAATCAACCTATACAAACTTCCTCTGCAAACCATAAAGTATACTTCTAAATTCTAAATTAAAA